CAATTTTTCTATATAAAGAGGTGCCAGAACTTGCCACGAATGCCTCCCTTTTTCTCTTATAATGGCAATGGTGCTCACCTGAGAGGTGCCGGAACTGAGTTCTGGTGAGTTCCAGATGAAAAAAAGCCCCACTACCACGACTATGACTACAGTGGTACCTCAGGTTACATACGCTTCAGGTTACATACGCTACAGGTTACAGACTCCACTAACCCAAAAATAGTGCTTCAGGTTAAGAACTTTGCTTCAGGATGAGAACAGAAATCGTGCTCTGGCGGCGTGGCGGCAGCAGAAGGCCCCATTAGCTAAAGTGGTGCTTCATGTTAAGAACAGTTTCAGGTTAAGAATGGACCTCCGGAACAAATTAAGTACTTAACCCAAGGTACCACTGTACTACCATAAGCCCATTGTTCCTACAGAACTGGGGAAAGAAGCAGAGCTCACGAACACCTTTTACCAACAGTCACATCCATGTGTTTTCTCTGGTGCAGCAATTATTAGCATATTATTTACACCAGAAAAACTGTGTGCAGAGAACGTCTGAATACCCTGTTCCTGGTGCCATGGTGCTGATCCAATTTGCACACACAAACACACCAGCAGATATTGTTCAAAAGTTATTTAAAGAGATGGGAGATTCAGTCATGGCTCTCTAATATCTTGTCTGGTTTGGCATTTCTGTTTTCACTGTAAAGAATAAAAATCCTTTAAAAGCAAAACACACACACACTCCAGTTATTTTGGGCAACAGAAAGCAAAGAAAGCAAAAGATGAAGGATAAATTTGGCCCACATATATAAACAGACCATGTCAACACTAAGTAACCAAGGTACTAGTTATACAACAGTCCCAGGCTATTACTGATCTAAGAATGCTTATATAAGGGACTGTAATAAAGTTAAGATGGTATCTTACATTGGGCCCAAGTTGTTTGGGAGAGACTATTCAAGAGTTCAGCTTTGCAAAAAAATAATGAAAAAGTAAAAAAAGCAATAAAGTTGATTTGTAAGAGAGCAATCTTGGCCCTCATAAATACCATTTTAGTCATCATCCCCCCCCCCACCCACGCTATCAGTATTTTCTGGAGGAAAACACTCTCTTAGGGAGTCCAGTAGTCATTTTGATATTTTCTGTAACTGCAGCTCTTTTAGTACAACAGTGTTCTTTGCTCAGATGTAGCTTGTCAAAATACAGGATCATGCCAGAATATTTATATTTCACTCCTTGTAGATTAATGGGTGATAGTCCTTTACGTAAGTAAATCCCATAAATCATAGCAACTCCAGTGTGTAACACAGTACGGATTCAGCCCCTCATGCTTCAGGGTGAGGAATAGCCCAGGCAAAAGTATAGATCTCCTTCTGTGCGAAAGCCAGGTTCTGGCTTCTTGCTCTTGTCTAGAAATACCACAATTTAACTCTGCCTGTGCCACAAATCCAACTCAATGGTGTAACGTTGGAAAATGTCAATCACTTCTCCTACCTAGGCAGTTACAGTGGTGCCCCGCAAGACGAAATTAATTCGTTCCGCAATTTTTGTCGTCTAGCGAATTTTTCGTCTTGCGAAGCACGAAATCCCATAGGAATGCATTGAAAATCAATTAATGCGTTCCTATGGTCAAAAAAAGTCCAAACAAAGCCAAATTTGGTACAACAACAGTTTATTAACTGCTCTTTAAAGTCACACATACTGTAAAGAGCAGTTCAAAAATTGAAGGGAAAATAAATTAACTTTATAAACAAAACATGTCTTTGTTTTTAGACAAAGAAAACAAAGTCGCGAGACGTTTTCGTCTTGCGAAGCAAGCCCATAGGGGAAATTCGTCTTGCGAGGCAAATCGAAAACAGAAAAACCTTTCGTCTAGCGAGTTTTTTGTCTTGCGAGGCATTCGTCTTGCGAGGTACCACTGTATCTTTCCACAAGGGCCAACACTGATGCCGAAATCCAGCATTGCCTGAGCTCTGCGAGTGTGGCTTTCTCCTAATTGAAGTGCAGAGTGTTTGAGGACATTTGCAGGGAAACCAAAATGATTGTTTACAAAGCTATTGTACTACCAACATTACTATATGCTTGTGAAACATGGACCACTTATAAACGCCATCTCCAACTCCTCGAAAGATTCCATCAACGGTGTCTCCGAAAAATTTTTACACATCACTTGGGAAGACAGGAAAACTAATATCACTGTACTGGAAGAAGCAAAGATCACCTGTGTTGAAGCAATGATTCTTCAACATCAACTGCGTTGGACTGGTCATGTTGTGTGGATGCCTGATGATTGTCTTCCAAAGCAACTACTCTATTCCAAACTTAAAAATGGAAAGCGTAATGTTGGTGGTCAACAAAAGAGGTTTAAAGACTGTCTCAAGGGAAATCTTAAAAAATGTAGTATAAACATTGACAACTGGGAAACACTGGCCTGCGAGCGCTCCAGTTGGAGAACAGCCTTTACCAAAGGTGTCATGGGCTTTGAAAACACTCAAACTCAAGACGCAATGGAGAAACATGCTAAGAGGAAGGCATACTTGGCAAAACCACACCATGATCAACTCCCGCCCAGAAACCAATGTCCCCACTGTGGAAGAACGTGTGGATCCAGAATTGGCCTCCACAGTCACTTACGGACTCATTGTTAAAACCATGTTTATGGAAGACAATCTTACTCCGCTATGAGTGATCACCAAAGAAGAAGAAGAGCTCCTTGGAGCACTGATGGTGTAGGTTTGCCATCCTGCAGAACTCCTTACAACACAACTGAACTAGAAAAGGATACTTGAGTACTAGGAAATATGAATGCCTTCTTCTAAAGGTGTATCCCTACAAGCACTCATTCGGATAGTAATGTATGCCCTCTAATAATATATTTATTTCTTTTAGGGCTCAGCTAAAAGCTGCAACGTACAGGCATGCGATTTCTGGCATTCTTTCTTTTTTTCCCTCTTCACATTTTAGTTTTTCCATTAATGGATAGCTGTGATCAGAACAGCATGTTTATTTCTCTCTCCCCGGTTAGATTCTGCCTCCAGCAGAGCAGAATGTCCTGATGTGACCATTAGAACAAAAGATACAGTTTTGTAATGCGCTATTGGTTCTCCCTCCCCTCCTTTTGTAATCTGTCCTTATTGGGAGAAGAGTGGGATAGAAATATGTGGTGGTGGTAGTGCTGGTGGTATCTTCCTTCTCTTGTGTACCCTTTGTACTCTTCTATCAAATGGCCATCTTCTCTCATTTGGCCTTACAGCTTCCTTGTGTCTTCATTAAACTGGCCATCAAGGTTGAGAAAATGTGGCAGGAGTTGCCTTGTCCTCCTGGCCTCAAAATTCTCTCATGCTCTTGAGAAGGAAGTGTTTCAAGGGAAGTCAGAGGAGCCAATATGCTACTGATATCACCAAGGGGAGGGAAAGATAACTTCATCATGCCCATCTCCCATCATGGGCTTACCATATGCACGGAATTTGCTGAAACTTTGCCAAAAAAAGCTTATAAATTTTTGTGTCTGGATTTTCAGTTTTTGAAATATGGCAACCCTACATCAGATAGGAACAAATAAACCTACATTTCTCAGTTCTTCCCTTTAACCCTCAGCCTTCGCCAAGGGTTTAACATTCCTGGTATGCAGCCAAATGCACATCTTTGCAATACTAGAAAGTCAGATTCTCCCCTACAGACAGGCAATTGCTCCATCAGAGCATGGGCATAGCCAGGACTTTTGTTGGGGGGGGGCAGAACCTCAGTTAGCTATATTGATTTTTATTGATGGGGGGCAGCAGCTGCCCCTCCCTGCCCCAGTTGTCTATGCCCATGCATTAGAGCCCTCTTTCACTAGGAACTTCCTGTAATTTGCCTATTTCCTGTGTGCTCTTTGTTTTTCTGCAAAGAAGGGGTTCAGAGGACTGTTATGCAACATCACAACTAGCAGCAAGCTGGCCTGGGGATCCACTGCTGCCATCATTTCCAATTTGGATGAAGAGTCGGTCCAGGTAAGTCGGTAGAAACAGATTGCCAGGTTAGCCACAACTTCTGGCCACCAGGGTCATGGCATTAACATTCCCACAGCCTCTGCTCCCTATTAGGGGTTGGGGGCCCTGCATTGCTGTAGAATTGGATCCAGCATACAGTGCAAGATGGGCCTCACTGTGTCTTTTCAGATCCAATCCCAAAACTGGCAATCCTTTGTTCTCATTCCAACACAGACACCTCACAGACACCACCTCCAACTAGGATTGGGAGGGGAAAGGCATGCTCAACTTCCAGAAATAACTTTATGCTTTATCTAATAGTTTCTGTGAAAACCCATTATGAAGAAGATACTTAACAGACCCAGCTAAGCTATTTATTTTAGAAAAACTCATTTGACCACCTTAGCAGACCACCCCCCCTCCCCCTCCCATCCCATGTAAGTAAAGGTAAAGGAACCCCTGACCATTAGGTCCAGTCATGACTGACTCTGGGGCTGTGGCGCTCATCTTGCTTTATTGGCTGAGGGAGCCGGCGTACAGCTTCTGGGTCATGTGGCCAGCATGACTAAGCCACTTCTGGCGAACCAGAGCAGCGCATGGAAACACCGTTTACCTTGCCGCCGGAGCAGTACCTATTTATCTACTTGCACTTTGACGTGCTTTCGAACTGCTAGGTTGGCAAGAGCAGGGACCGAGCAATGGGAGCTCACCCTGTCGCGGGAATTCAAACCGCCGACCTTCTGATCGGCAAGTCCTAGGTTCTGTGGTCCCCAAATCCCATGTAGTTATATATAAAAAATGGCCCTCTTCAGACATTTCAGAAATGTATAGGATTACACCTCCAACCAATTTAGGGAAAATCTTTGATGGAACAGCTGCTAGCCCATTCAAACCCCGGATATATTAGAAATTATCCCAGGAGAGTCTTATTTTGAAATCTTGTTTTCTTTTGGATAGTAAAGGAATGTGCTTTGAACTTCTTCCATGTTGTAGTCTTTGGAAGCTCAGTGTTATTCTATGTTGTTCATCTTGTTACGAGTTCATGACAAAGAGTTCTTCTAAACAGGAAGGCTGTTTTATTTCTGTCCCCTGAACAATGATAACTGAACCGAATTCTCTTTTTTAAAAAACAAAACAAAACACCTCTTGAATATCTTTCTTAATCATTGACATCAGGGAAGGTGTACCAGGTTGACAGCAATTTGTTTGTGTTCAACTTTGGAATCTTCTTAAGGGTGCTGGAAAATTACCACTGCAGACCTACAAGAAGGAATTGAGAAAGAAACAGGTAGGGATGGTGATGGGGAGACATAATAATCCAAGTGACAAAATGTGGGTAGATTAAGATAAAGACTTTGCCCATAGCTGCACTCATTCAAATGAAAGGAACTGTGGTCATTAAACAATTACCTTTGAAGAAAATGGTGATAAATCAAAAAAGTATTGCCAGTGACATGGTAATTTTGGATTCAGTTAAAAGTTGCCCAGTGGCTCAAGCAGGACCATACAAAGATATTTTAAAGCACACACAACAGGGTTATGAAAAGGATAAACATCTATCGTTGAGGAAGATTAATGTGCAGGGACAGGCAACATAAACAACAATCCCCATCGGCCCTAAAATATATTGAACTCATGAGAAGGTAAATTTACACATTCAGTTTTTTCATGCATTGGCCATGATGTCCAGGAAATCTCCCAGGGAAAGGTGTTACACCTCACTAATTGGCATGAAGCTTACAAAGCGGAACTAAAGTGCTTTGTTAAGGTATAAGCAGAAGAAAGAAGTGGAAAAAATGCATGTGAAAAAATATTTAGGCCATAGGGGGAAAAGAAGAAGCTGACCTGTTTCTCTGAGGGATGGGGCATTTGATTAATTCTGGATACACACACACACACACACACACATTCACAAACTTCAAGAAGATTGAAAGGTTTCTTCTTCTTTTTTGCCAAATAATTTTTATTAAAATTCCATTTAACAAACCAATCATATCATATTAATTATTCCAAATTATATCAATACATATCACAAAGTCCAAATTTTAACCGAATTTTAAATTTTTGTGGGGGGTACCCATGCTTCGAGTTCGGTAGGGGTCCAATCATCTTATATTTCTGCTGCTTTGAAATTCACAAATCCCATCTTCTCATCTCCTTGTTGTTATCATTTTTCTCCTTAATAACCTCCGAGTTGTTTCCACAAGTGAGTTGAAAGGAACAACGTTGTTTATATTTCTGTGTGAACTTTGTAATGCTCTCCCATAATTCATCTCACGTAGATCCAAAAATCCAAAAGTCCTGTTCAAGCCGCCGTCGCCATTTTAGTCAGTTCCGATGAAATACAGTCTAGGCGTCCGCTCCTTAATTTTACCAGACCAGTTGCACCATAAATCAGTCCTTCCAGAAGGGTTATTGCCCTTTTAAATTTACGATCCAAACCTGATAACAGAACAGTGGCTCACCCCCCCCCCCATGACTGTAGATCTTGCAACAAAGTCTGACTCGTAATGGCGGATCGCATTTGTAACTACGCCACAAGAAAGCCTCTTTTCTTTCCAGATCTTTCACAAAGTAAAACCTTTTGTTATTATTTTTTGTTTCCACACACTTTATTTTTCAGTCTCACTTGCTATCAGTCATTGTGACAGTTCTTCTGGGGGGGGGGGTTATTAGGTAAATCATAGTGAAAAAGAAAGAAAGTCCCTCCCCCTTTCCGTTCCGTTCAACATACCGACATGGCTGTGATTCCTTGATGTAGTCTTCTGTTCATTCCGTCCCATCACTCTTGCTTATCTTCTCAGTGGTAGATTTATTTAGCAGATAATACACCCCTGACTTCGCTCGAAACATGTGCATTTACTTACTCCAATTTTTTTTATATTAAGCCATGCAACTAGTTTCGCTCCTGAAAGCGGCGTCCGGGAGCTCCGGAGCTCGCGCGAGGGCTTTCCGCCCAGTGCCCCCACCCCCTCCTTATTTCGAACTCGGGGGTGATTTATGGGCAACCGCGGGCGAGGCAGCATCTTCCCACCCCCTGGGAAGAAGAAGGGAGGCTGATATACTCCCCATAATCAGCCTCTAATTACCTCGTGCGAGCCGGAAAGATGGTATTGTCAGCCATCTTCCAAGGCGCCCCTAGCGGCCCCCCGATTGAAAGGTTTCTTCATGTAATTTGGAACAACTCTCCCTCTATAAATTTTGTTATATCAAAGATTTAAGTGCATACAACCACTGCCACCCTTTGCAGTAGTGCAATCCTGTGTAACTCGGATCACAGACTTAGGGTGACTCAAATACTGTTCCCCCCAAAAGCTGTCCACAGTAAACAGCAAGAGTATCTAGGAAGCACAGAGACTTAGGAACAAATTATACTTGCTAAAGTTCACACTCTACACCCTGCCATCTTGGAAGCTTCTGGCTGGGCAATTAAGCCTGTGTGGTCTTCTTTCAGGAAGCCACTATTGAACATAACAGCAGCAAAGGAGCTGAGAAAGTGCAAATGTCACAAAATTGTTTTGGAAACTACTGAATATATTTTTAAATTTTCATTGCAAGGAGTTGGACTAGATGACCCTCATGGTCCCTTCCAACTTTACAATTCTATGATTCGAAGATACGAACAGATTCAAATTTGTTTATTTGCATTTAATCATCAGACCATTATAAAACAAAGCTTTAACAGAATGAAAGTAACACAAAGTAACAAAGAGAAGTTTAACTCAGACCCAAATAAACTACAACATAAACAAGCTTGAAATGCTGGATTTGCCTGGCAAATCACAGCATGCTCCATTAAAGAGGGAAAATGGCCCCTTTTCAAACAAATATTAAAATGCAACTAAGTACGATGACAATCTGAATCAAATTACATAAACCCTAAATGAGTGAAAGCATAAAACAAACCTAGAATTCTGAATTCCTGTCTCCATGGCAGGGCATATCATTCTTTCTTAAGAATTTTATCCTCTCATTTGTTAGTGACAAAAAGTGTCAAAAAGTGTTTATTTCTCTTGTCCACCCAGTAGATCAATTATAGACTCAAAGTCTACCCATCTCTTGTATAAAAATAGTTAAAGCAATTATGTATATAATGACAGCTAATTACATATATGAAAACAATTTCAAATCCAAAATAGAAACCAGATGGTGTCTAACAGTTTGCTAGAGAATTCTCCAGCTTTGAAAATCATTAGTAGTTGGCTCTTCCTGGATAAAAGAATTTAATAATAATTTCCAGCTGATTTTGATAAGGTCTGGCAGTACACCTCGCTGAATACTTATTGCTGGGTATCACAAGTGGAATGAATGCTATTGCACCGAAGTCCTGCTTGTAGACTTCCCATAGGCTTCTACTTTGCCACTATGCTAGGGTGTATGGGGTGTTAGGGGAGGGGCAATACCTCTGGTGGGGGACATGCCATGCTCCTTCTGGGGTAGTTTGCCCACCTTTGGTCTCTACCCTGCACTCAGCGCATTTGTGGCTCCTAGAAGCTGTCAACATGTAACAGCAGCCACACCCCAGGAAACGGCCTTGACTAAACCAGATGAGGGTAGCTGATGGATCTTCTGCAGCCAAACTGGTGCCAAATGCCTTGCACTGTTTCCTTTGGAGCACATCAGTGAGGCTGAGAGTCTTGTCATCTGGGCAGCCCAAGACCACTATATATACTGCTAGGGCTTGTGTCCCAGAGAGGTCATTTCAGTGATGCTAATGCAGCGGTTTGGCTTCACCCCCAGAGGCACACTCCGATGTTTCTCAAGACAGATGGATGCCACTTAAAAAGAGGGAACAAGATGCTGGACTAGATGGGCCTCTAGCTTAGGGTTACCAGACGTCCCCGTTTCCCGGGGACAGTCCCCGGATTTGCGAATAAGTCCCCGGACAAATTCCATCCCTGGAATGTCCCCGGATTTCATCTAATGTTCCCGGGAAACGCAGCAGCGGCAGTCTCAGCAGCCTGGAGCAGTTGGCTCTGGCTGGCTTCAGGAGCTGCTCGGACGTCCCATTATGATGGTGGTGCAGGGGCTCTAAGATGCAGCTTCCGGGCTGCCTCCACTTTCCTTGACCCCAGCAACTAAGCTGTGAAGGGAGGCTTCATGCTGCCTATTGGAGCAGCCTCCCAACTCCTACTTGCATAGAAGCAGGAGTGGGGTGGGGATCTCTCAGCTGTGAAAAGAGGCTTCAAGCTGCCTATCAGAGCTTGCGTGCAAGCAGGAAGGAGCAGGGATCTCTCAGGCAATGGGAAGCCTTGCTTCCCAGCTGAGGGTTCCCTGGCCCTTCCTGCTTGCACGCAAGTAGGAGTGGGATTGGGGCTGCTCTGATGGGAAGGGAGGCATCGTGCTGCCTGAGCCTCGCTGCCGCCTTTCTCGGCCCTCCTCCGCCTTCCATGCCTGACCCACCGCACACTGCTTCCCCATCACCACCACCGAAGAACCAACAACTCAGGGACTGCCCAGGCTCATGGAGAAAGCAGATAGAAGCCTCGGAGGAAGGGGAAACGTGGCGGTTGAGGTCAAGGCGGCGGCTGCCCCTCAGCCACCGCCATCGCTGCAGCATCAATGTCCCAAACGTGTATTATTTATTTATTTATTTAAAGTGTCCCCGGATTCAATGAAAAAAATCTGGTAACCTTACTCTGGCTTGATCCAGCCAGGTTTATCTTACATTCTTTAGCCCATCCGAGTGAGCTTGACTACCATAGGGCAAGCCAGTCATGGGGAGGCATCCAGTGTTGTTGCTTCTTGAGTGGAAGGAGAGCTGTAGTCATGGAATGCAAATCTGTCTGTCTAGAGACCTTCCTTTGAAGAGAATTTATAAATGGCCATTTCTGTAGTAAGAAGCTTACATGGCAAACTGTTGCCTCCTGTTTAAAGAAAGTTGTACCAGCATTAAAGCAGAGAATTGCAACAACCGTCATTGTAGGGATGGCACATTAATTCTGAAAAAAGAGCATTAATTAAAATAAACAAGCTAAAAACATGTTCAGACTGGAATGCTGTGTGATTAGAAAAAGAAATTGAGAATCAGCACTACACAACTGGGCTTCCTACTGCTATAATCCATATGGCCCTTTATCAGGAACATCAAGTGTGCAGCACAGTATCGAAGCAACACAGCAGGAAGATTCTAACTGTTGAGTTCCCCACAATTTTACTTTGGTATGTTTCATCCATACACATTAATTTTAATTTTAATTAGAGCTGGACGAAGGCCATGGAAAATATTCTCAAACATTTGTTCAGATAAAAAGCACAGA